CATGATCCCTACATAAAACCCATCAACAGATGTGTGGGTTTTAAACATGTTGGCCTACAGCCCCTCCACATCGGATGCCTGTGCGGGTGTGAGGGGTTACTTTCTCCCTCCCATCATTGCTCCTCTTCTTCATTCCGGCTGCCTGGTATGGCTTTGATCTTTCTGTCATTAGTCAGGTATGCAGAGAGAGCAGAAAAACCTCAAACCTTCCCTCTCCCTCCTATGCTCTTGTGTTGCCCTCTCCCACGCTCCGAGCAGAAGACATCGGCTGACCAGTTTGTCTCCTCAAGCCTCTTTTTGGACCTAAAGATGGAGCAGAGTGCTGTCCCTCTCCGCATGACGTGTACGGAAAGTGACAGTGTCAGTGCACTAAGTTAGCATGCCCCACGCTCCCCCTCTTGATCTTCGATTAAGGAACTTTGAGGAGTCCAAGAGGTCAGAGGTCATTTGCTGATGTGACCTCAGTCTGAAGTAACATCAGGGAGTATCCATCAGATAATTATTTTTTATTTTCTATTAGCTGAAGATCACTTGACTTGTGTGTCAGATACAAAATATAAGAATTACGATACAACTGAAAAACCACCGAATCATAAAAATGTTCTACTGAAAAACTGTTTTTAAACCCAGACTTTTTTTGAATTTGCAGTGTTTCCATTTAGGGAACCTATTTTCCTAATTACAATTTGATGCTTAAAGGAAACACAGCTGCAGAGAAATATAAGCAGCAAAACAAGTTAATAAAAACAAAACATCTTAGATCCTTTAAAGAAAGTAGTTCAGTGTCTGAATTGATCACAAGAAGTAAAGAGCGCCAAGTCTTCTCTAAGGAACTTAATGTCTCAACATCATGTATTACTACTGAATAGATCTAAACTTTATCCATCTAGTAGAGATAAGAACCTTAAACCAGCTAAATTACTGAATGAACAGATACATGTAATCATCCCACAAGCCATGGTTTGCAATCTAAAAGTGTTTAGTTCCCATAACTGACCTGTAGGTGGCAGCATTAGTCTGAGCTGTTGTTTTACTATAGACATGAGGAGCAATTCGATTTAAGCAAAAAATAGGAGAAAGTTCTTAATACAATCACAGAGGTTTGATAGTTTTGGATTAATGAGTAAAACAATCGTATCTTCTGTTGTTCAAGTACTGCAAATCTTTTCTCAGCCTTTAATCATCAGTAAGTTAACATATGGACTAGAGCTGAACAATATTAGGAAGACCTGTTATATAAAATAATGATGCCAATTGTCACTGTTAAGATATGGTTTATGCAGGGTTGGAAGTTTGCTCCAGATGGCAGTTTTTTCCAGGAGTTTTTTTTTCTGGCTAGAAGAAACAGTTTGTTTCAGTCTAAGGTCAAATTTATGGGAGGTTTTGTTTCTTTGGGTGAATTTATTGCCTTAAGTACTAATAACATTGAGGTGGGGCTTAGTATCTATAAAGCAGGTTGTTTTGGGGACATGAATAGATAAAAGAAAAGATAAAAGGGTTGTGTAACTTGGAAATAAAAGTTATTTATTCATCTAGATTTGTATTACATAACCTTAATAGATTATATAATTTCTTAATTTGTGTCAGTGTGTGTATTTTCATACAGTTTTCATGTTATATAGCCAGGTGGATATAATGAGTTGACTTTTCAATGGAACTATCCCAGTACTCCAGAATATGATGTATTTTAAAAGGACTTTCTTCCTGTTTCTTCTAGAAGAAATGGGGAAAAAAAACAACAACATTTCTTCCAGTTTTTTTCCACTTGTCTGGAAGAAACAGGTCTCTTCCCGAAGAAACTCAACCCAGTGCTTTTGATAAATAAATATTAATAAAAAATGATAAGTTATTTTTGTTCCTTTTAGAAACCTGGAATCGGGGTAGATAGATATCTCTCTGCCTAATGGGGAAAAAAACGATTGATAATTTCCACAAAAAAAATAAAATATGTTGCAACATGTGACATTTAGACAGATGATAAAAACTATATATATATATATATATATATATATATATATAGTTATATATATATATATATATATATATTAGGGCTGCAACAACGAATCGATAAAATCGATAAAAATTGACTTTTAAAAGCGTTGGCAACGAATTTCATCATCGATTAGTTGTGTCGCGCGATTAATGCGACATCCGCCGCCGCCGTCATCACATCCACTTTACTGAAGCGGGGGAAGAAGAAAAAATATGGCAGAGCGATTCAGCGCCGCAGGTGCAGTGTTGCCAACTCAGCGACTTTTCAGACCCCTCCAGCGACTATTTTTCAAAAATGCGACTAGCGACAAATCTGGTGACTTTTTACGGTGTCACTTGCGGCTTTTGGAGACTCTTACGTGAAAGCATGTATAGTTCCTACTCTGCCGTGGGGCGCCTCCCCCCGCTCCCGCAGGAATCCCTCTCAGCGCTGCAGTCAGAGCAGCAGGATTTTTACCCTCAGCGTCCAGACTGCAAATGAAGCGCGCATGCACCGGGATTGACGGCGCAAATTGATCACAATAATTAAAATAGCCTGCGCTTTGTAAAGTGAAAAAAGTCGTAACATGCAACTTTTGTAAAAACATATTAACATGGCACGGAAGCACCATGTTTTTTTGGTTTTAAAGTGGGGAAACGTAACGTTAGTTTCTCAGGTAGCTCATCTGATGCTTTCCTTACCGTGTTAGTAGGTTACAGACAGTGATAAGGTTGGCTACTTATTTTACTTTTAATTTCATTTGAATTAGCTTAAGCAGCGTTTACATTTACTTTATAAATAAATTAACTTGCAAATTATGAGGGCAAGGCTTTTAAAGTTTAAATATTCTGGCAAAAATAAAGTAAAGATCCTGCAATTTATGGAAGTAAAGCAGAATAAAATCCAGTAAGATCAGTAAAATGTCAATTAATTATCTGCCACATTCCCATGTAAATATCTGTCTTTGGAGGATGTGTTTTTTAGCACCCCTAGTTCTCTCATTTTTATTCCAAATACAATTTATAACTTGAATCACAGGGCTATTTTTATCTCTATGATTAAGTATTTTCTTAAGTAGCAACTTTAACTGCTATACTTTCCTGTCTTAAAAGGCAGAACTCTTCTAGTCTAAAAAAACCTCATTTGTTGAAATGGGGGGGGCTGTTGTTTGAACCCCTTAGGGGCTTTTAAAAACAAAAATGTATTTTTTTGCGCTTTATGAAACAAAGTAGCCTATATTTTGTGGATGTACAGCTACATTTCTCATGTAAGTTTGCGTAGTTTTAACACAAACATTTATTTTTCATATTGCACTAGTACAGTTAATGAGCAACCTGTACTTGTGTGCTTGTTTGTTCTGTCTAAAATGTTTATTTTGGAATAAAGAGAATAAAATATAAAAAATATTTTTTGTCCGATTCATCGATTAATCGAAAAAATAATCGGCCGATTCATCGATTTTTAAAATAATCGTTAGTTGCAGCCCTAATATATATATATATATATATATATATATATATATATATAAATATATATATACACCGTAAATTCTCTAATATAGGCCCGGGCCTTTATTTCACTCAAGTGCATCGCGGTCCAGGCCTTTATTGGATAGAGGCCAGAATTAGAGACAGGCCTCTATTGCTATTTGAGCAAAACAGACTACCAGTGGAATGAATAAAAATGAGATTTTGTGTCTATTTGAACCTATAAAACACTAGGTTCATTTATTGAAAAAGTACAGTTACCATGTCTCGCTTGGTTTGAAGTAAAAAAAATAAAAATAAAATCCTCCAATTCTGTTTAATTCTCCTCCTCAGTTTCCTCCTCCTCTTCATCTCTCCCTTTATTCTCCTCATCACTCGCGCTCCTCCTGTTCTGCTGCGTGTCTGTTCTCTTCCTCGCGCAGACGGGCAGCAGTCAGGGCCTGTCGTCCAGCTGCGCAGGGCTGTGGTACTTGTATGTTACTACCACAAGTATAATGTTGAGGTATGCCCAGAAAAAACGTTTATAGCCCCGGCCTGTATTAGAGACCGGCCATTATTTACCTCCTCTGACAGCGAGACCGGCCAATGTTAGAGTCCCGGCCGCTATTGGAATACAGGCCAATATTAGAGAATGTACGGTATATATATATATATATATATATATATATATATATATATATATATATATATATATATATATATATATATATATATTAATTTCAGTCCGAGTAGCCTCTCTGGAAATCAAGACGTTTTAACAGTGTAGCACTCAAGTTTCAACACTTAGGCTGCATGATACCAGTAGAACATGTAGGTTCATTATGGCTGGATATTTATTTAATTCTATGGATAACAATGAACCCAAAGTTCGCCTGTTCTTTCCTTTATTTCCTTTTAATATTATTTTCTGTGCGGATACAGGCTGTTAATTCAACAAATGATATATTGCAGCAGAAAAGTTTAAATGAGTTGGTTATCGGTATCAATCTGTTCTAGTCACAATTTCAAAACTGCTTCAGTTTAATAAAAATAATAATTCAAACCTATTTTTCGATTCTCTTATAAAACGTACAGCTCCTCCTGTTCAATGCACTTGTTATATTATTAAAAAAGAAAAGTTTTCATCCTATAATCTGTATGTTTAATAGAAGAGCAATATCAAACCTGACTGATTTTAAACTGAATGTAAACATATTTACCTGTTCTCTTCATGTTTCTAACTCTTAATAAATCGTTAACATAGCAGACATTATTAAACTCAGTAAATTCCTTTTTCTGCATGTAATGACATCCACTAACCACATGGTGGCAGACACAGCCCGAATATAAAACCACTTCTTCATAGTCAATGTGACATCTGATCAAACCCTTCCCAACAAGAAAGCTATCCTCTAACCTTTGACCTTTTTTTGCCCTTTTACTGATGGAAAAACTTGTATTTCTTATGTTACTTCCACTTTGAAACTGGGTTTTAAACCAACAGTGCATAATGGTTTAACAGCTGTTTCATAACATCTGGCTGAAAGATACTTAATACTCACATTTTCAATTACAAACGTCCACTCCTTGTCCTCAAACTCTTCTGCATGAGGATCCTGTAAAGGGAGAGACACCAAAAATTCAAGACAGTTCTATTTATTTGTTAACATTTTTCTTATTTTAATCAAGAAGAATGAGAAAAACAAAAAATTTCCCCCCCAAAAAATCCTAAAAAATGTTTTTAAAGGGTTCAAGGGACATGCAGAAAGGTTTAAGAGAACATCTAGAGGGAGACGGTTCTTCATTTCATTAATCTGTGGCTGTGCAGTCACAGCTAACTGGTGAACAGGCTTTCCGGCCCCAGGAAAGATTAAAAAATGTAAATCCAATCCTCGTCTTTATGGCCTCCAATAATGGCTTTGATAGTTCCCCTTGTTTAGGTCTGGGATTTTAATTAGCAGGACAGAGAGGCTTGAAAAGGTCCTCCTTTCAGCAGGACTACAACCATAAACACGATGGAAGCCTTCAATGGATTTAGATCACAGCTTTTTCATTTCTCAGAATGGTCTAGTCAAAGTACAGATGTTAAAAAGAGAGGAATCCCTGGAAAAAATAAAAAAAAGGCAACCTGCTGTTCATGGTTCAAGCTTGGTCTGCTTTGCAGAGAAAAGGAGACAGAAGTTTTAGGGCAAATTCACAATGCTGGTCCGGTCCAGTTATTGATACATGTGAAAATATTCCCACCTTCATTTGGCCTGGTTTAAGTGGTGCAGACTTCTGCAACCTGTGGCTCTTTAAATAGTCTTCCTCACTTAGACTCAAATTGATAAAGCGCAAACCGATTCTTTAAAATAATTACTTCAATAGCATTAGATAAAAAAGAATGGCTCTGAATATAAATTAAACATACTTTGATCTTTAATAAGTATCAAATATTTTGTTTTTTTGTTACACAATTCCCACAGATTTCAGCAATCCCAGCCCTGTGTGTTAAACACAAGCAGCTGCTCCAAACGGCCTCCAGAACGCCCTGATCCTACACGCACATCAACAGCTTCTGACAGCCATCATCCTCTGCAGTGCTAAAAAATATATCCGCAGGTTGGTTAACACCCTATTTCCTCCTCTTTGTTTTCATTTAACTGTTTTAACATAAGTAGGAGAAGCTAACATTTCCAGATTTTTCTGCAGATGACATCATTTAATCAAACAAGTCAGGCTAAACATGAGGAAAACATCCTTTCCACTGAGCATCGGACATCAAAGATGCACATCCCTAATCTGATTTTTATTCTGCAGTTAAGGCTAATTTTTATTTTATTCTTTGTTTAGGACTTACACAGTTAATCTGAGGCCATGCACATCCTGCCTCTTTGCCTGATACCAAACAGCTGACTCAGCTGTTCTGCCCGCTGTTTTCACCTGCAGGATTTATTTATGCTAATTACGTCATACTTTAAATTTGAAAACTACAGAGTTATATTGCTCATGCAGAATAACTGTTTGTCTCTTCTCATCACCTGGAAATCTGATATAAACATTTTTAAACCCGTGTTTGCCTTAAGTTAAACCTGCAGGATGATCCTGCGTTTGTTTGTTGTTTTTTTTTTATGTGGGAAAAGCCCACAAAAGAGCGCCCTCTACAGATTACATCTGGAAAAATAAACCAAGACAAACACATTAATAATTAACTTTATTATTGTAATTCTAAAACTGTATAAATAAACTTTAGCAAAATCCATTTCTCACATCCCTCTGATGTTGCATTTCAAAATGAAAAAGAACTTTATGTACTCAATCTCCTAACAAAATAAAAGAAAAAATGTATTCATTTTTAACGACCCTTTACAGAATTTAATATGTAGCCATAAGAACTAAACACAGATCTATATGATATAGAATATGCTCATTTTATTCTTTCCTTGTCACTCTCTACAATGTCCTTTCGTAAGATCCTAAGTCACATACATACATATACATATATACATATATATATATATATATATATATATATATATATATATATATATATATATATATATATATATATATATATATATGTATAAAGACATTCTTTAATATTTTGATTAAAATATACAGTGGAATCTGCTTATTGTGGTCACGGATATAGTAATCAAACCACTTTTATAGATCAAAAGACTTGGGACAGAATCATTTCTATACAAATGCTGTTTAAATATTTTGTTTATAGTAATCAAGAAACCCGCTTATAGTGTTAATTTTTGGCCATTTTATGAATGTAAACGTGCAATAATAATTTAAAAATTACGTGTATTATTAGTTATTTTTTTTCTCCCATGATTCCATTCTGGGCATCTGATTCTGCCTAGCTAGCTCGGAGGTACAAGAGCGCTTTGGTGCGGGTACCAGTGCTGCGAGCAGCGAGGAGGATGAGGATGAAGAAGAGGAGACTGTTGTCTCTTCCAGAGCTGAAATGAGGAATGCAGTTTGCATTTTAAAGACTGGTCTCCAGCCCGTTGGTTTCAAAACCTTTGACCTTTTACAATGTTTTGAAAAAGTCAACTCCGTGTTGGACAACACTCTGATCCAGGAAACCATGGATAAATATGTTAAGTGATTTTTTTTATGCGGCGCAGAGGATCCGCAACACAAAACAGAGCTAGGGTAGCTTTAATTTTCTGTAGCCTGTAGCAGTTATCTTCTATGTTGTTGTTCTATGAAACCGTTTGTTTCAAACTTTATTTTCAGACATGTTAAAATGCAACGAGTTATGTCCACACACTGCGCAGTACTCTGCTCTGATGGAGCATTTGTTTCAACCTTTATTTTAAGACATGTTAAAGTGGACTGGTGGCACAGCAGAGCCGAAGCATAGAATAAGTTACATAGGCCTACTGTAGGCTATCAGAGTTATGTCCGCACACTGCGCAGTACTCTGCTGTGATGAAGCATTTGTTTCAACCTATATTTTCAAACTTGTTTAAAAAATGCACCGTCGGCACAGCAGACTCGACGCACAGCACATAATAAGTCACGTAGTCTACCAGAATTATGTGTGCGCACAGCACAGTATACTGTAATTAAACTTGCATGGTACTGTAATAAAGTTCAGTAAATGCGGAAGTTATCCGTTTCATTCCATTTTTTTTCATAAAAAAAAAACATACAAATGGCATTTAGATGATATTCTGCATAAAAAAAATAAGTAAAATAACGGTAAATTCAGTTTTAGTAATCAATCGCTTATAGTGTTCAAATTGGCTCTGAACCAATGTGACCACTAAGCAGATTCCACTGTATTTGATATTTCATATTGTTGGTAAAAGCTAATTTTGTTTCTGTTAAGTTATTGTCATTTTTTAACTCCTCGTTACGGTGGAGATGGACATGATTTATTTATAATTTTAGAATACATTCTGAGGGTACTCTTTGCTCTATTTAAAAAAAAAAAAAAACACTTGTGTCGCTAACACATTTAATTTATTTTTCCTCTTAAAATGAGTAAACCTGGATTTAAAAGATAATTTTATGAGGACTGTTTGAGTTTAACACCAGGTTATAATTCCTTTAAAATCTGCTGAGTCATAATAACTCTGTGAGATGATGTCATGTCGCTTATTAAATGTGTATGACACAGTTCTGAGTAAAAAGCCTTAATGAGGCTGAGAAAGCTGCAGAACAGGGAAGGACTGCGCAGCATGTATAATGAATGAGGGTAATTTGTTACCAATGTAGCATCAACAATTAGTATCATAGAGACTAACACTGAGGGATTGTCTGCATTATGATTTAGTGTTTGTTAACCCAAATACAGCACACGGCAATGGGGTAATTACATGAAAAAAGCCAGCATTATTGGATATGTGATTTGGCAATAATCCAGCTGAAGAAGGAAAACTTTGCTCTGCTGGCTTTGACTGTGTCTCGTTACAAAGCTTCAATAAATGGAAGTGGAGGAGAATGGAAAACAGCGTAAAACAGCCAAAAAGATTTACCGAAAGCGTAAAAAACAATGATTTCTTTTATGCAAATATCACAAGATTTGCCTCGCTGACTTGAGGTAATTTGCAGGGAAGTTCAGCCAAACTCTTTCTGAACCGTCTGAGAAACACTAACTTGTTGTTAATAATAAACATCCATGTGACAGGAGGTGAAACCTATAATCATCTTATCTAAACAGACATACTGGTCACATTCAGAGCATAACAATAGATAAATCACAATGTAAACCTAAGAGCGTATCCACATCAGGAAAGGTGTCTTGTCTTTTGGTCCCAAGCAAAACAGGGCTTTGTTTTTCAGTTGGCTTTCACATTTTCACATTTCACTTTTTGCGAACTACCTATAACTTGTGACAGAGCCAAGTTTGGAAAAGGAAAAAGACACGCGGACCCACAAATGGAAGAAAACCTCTGCAGCAACTCTGCTCAACAACTCTGCGCCTGTTATCAGCTAATTCAGCTTAGATTTTAAAACTATTTATTTATAGTTTTGGACAACTATGGAGAATCCATCCTGCAAGCTGAAGGAAACCCTTCAACGTTGCTTGGAAACCAGAGACACAATGTATGATTTCAGGTACACATTCATTACTACGGTTAAGTAAAAAAAAAGGCGTATATATTTTAGTAGTTGGGTTGGATCCAGATTTAAAGCCGGGTCTGTTTGAAAGCCTGTTTGATAAAGTGGGTCTCTGTCTGGTTGATTTCCTCAAATAAAATCTATTCAGGGACTAACATGCCACTTTAAGAAACGAAGGACTGCACTGCTGCCTTACGTCACTAATGATTATTCCAATGATATTTCTCCCTGTTGGAGCAAAAAGACGAACAAACCTGAACATTTCCTGTTGCTGAATCTGTAGAACCTGCGTTCTCTCTTATTCGCTCTTCTTCAACAGGAATTCAATCATTTAGACGCGCGAACTTTAGAGGAACGAGCGGGATTTTATCTCTGCTGAGCCAGTTCTGCGTTGATCGGGTCATATATGTTTGGTATCAATAATAACCTCTTTAACTTTTTTGCAGATACCATTTCATTTCAATTTTATTGACTTTTCTCCAGGGATTTTCTTTGATTCAGTGATTCCATCGTCTAACAAGGTTTCCAGGGCCTTTGGAAATAAAACTAGAGCACAGCATCACAACTTCTCCACTATTCTATTAAAGCTACACTGCATGATGAATTTTTAGTAAGCATGTGCAATAGGTGGTGGAGTTACAGGTGATCTATAAAGGATCAATGCGAAAATGTTAAGATGGGAAAACTAGTTTGGTTATTGCCCTGAAATGAGCAAACTGTATTCTACAGGTGTGGACATGAAAGAAAAATAATGTTCTAAGTCATGAAGATGGATGCAAAGATGATAAAAATGATCTAAAAAATAAATAAATACCAACTAAGCTATATAATGTTTATAGAGCACTTTACATAGGTTGTCTATCTCTAAGTGGTACGAAGCAAAAGTAAAAGAATAAAATGATAAAAAATAACTAAAAACAAAGCAGTGTACCGACGCCTTCTTTGTGGCAACAATGATCGCAGATTATCAAGTTTGCAGACGGTTTTGGCCTGAAGATGAAAAAAAACTACATCTCCAGATGAGTTTGAGATGTGGAAAAAATAAATAAAAATAAAAATAAATAAATAATAATTAATCCCTTCGCACTTGGTAAATGTTTAAATGTTTGGATATCCTCCCATGAATCTCTGCAGTTTGAACATTAGAATATAGTCTGCATATTGATGAAGGCACATGCATTAAAAAAAGGTTTTCACACACTGTCTGCGGAATTGCAAACACAATTTGTGCACTTGTTCTTTTTGGGGTTTTTTTTAAGACACGCAAACTTTCTGAAAATCAGGGCCCCAAGAGTGACTGCTACTGGAAAGCTCTCATTAAGTATTTATTTTTACCAGTTGTTAAAAGAGATGAGGTATTATGTCATTTTTGATCAATACCACAGGGACAGAAAAGGTCATTGATTACCAATAAGTAAATTATTATTCAATTAAATAAAAATGAAAAAACAACATAAAGTTTGTATTTCTTTTAATAATCTTAGATACTGCTACTTTACTAAAATGTACTTGTATCTAGAGGTTTTTAACACATGGTTACCAGGGGAGCGTGTTGTGATGTTGTAACCCCAGAGAGATGTAACAGGACACTAGTAACAGGAGCTAGTCTGTCGGCCCCGAAGCCCTGGCATGTTAAAGTAAAGCAGTCATCCTGGAACATACTGTGGCTTAAGGAATCTTCTTTAAAGACAATAAGATGAGCAAATGTATACAGACGGACACTGCAGACTCATTTCATGACAGTCTGTATCTTACCTTAAAGAGAGTGACGGTAATCTCAATGTTCTCTGGTACCGGCCACACTACCACTCCTCTGTAGGGGTTTTTGATGCCAGGCTGCCAGCTATGGGACTAAAAGACAGAATGTAAGAATAAAATCTCTTTTTTCAAAATATAAAATTTTTTGTTGCTACTGATCGTCTATAAAACACAGACCTTAGATGATTTCCGACGACTTCTGCGAGTCCAAACAACCACTAATTTATCTGGTTGCCTGTAGGAGAAAAACAAGAGGAAAGAAGGCAAAGGATGTTTATTATTACAGCCATGTGGGATTTAAACATCAGTGTTTGACCATCAAAATGAGTCTTTATCCTGACATCTTTACTTATAAAGCTTCTATAACACATCTAGTGTATAAACACCACATGCACACGGGTCAGCATCACTGCTCATGGCATGAATAAATCATGGAAAGCCAGTTGACTCTTGGCTTTATCTGTGGCCTGCAGCACAGAAAACAGGATTCAGTCTCCAACACAAAGGCTGACACACACAGCAGCATAAGAACCACAAAAGTCCCTTTCTGTTCTCTAAGGTTACGTTCACACCGCAGGCCTTGATGCTCAATTCCAATTTATTTTGTGAAATCCAATTGTTTTGCATTGCCGTTCACATTTCGAAATACATGTGACATATGTGATCTCCTGTGTGAACTGCAGTCATACAACACAAGCGTCAGCGTTGCGCAGTAGAGGACGCAATGACACAGGCCAGTGTGTGCTTTGTTTACGGAAGCAAACATGGATGGTAGTGCTGAAGCACATCTAGCCATCTTTCCTATCTTTTCAAGATGGTTAAACATAAATACTGCTCTCTGCATCATTGTCTGCCACTGTTGTCATTTTTCTTGCTGCTTCTTCATAGCAAGACCCAGAATAGTGACTTTTGCCGGGTATTAATGGCGTTCAGGTCGGATGAATGCGACCTGGCCATTCAGACACAGGTCGCATTTGAAAAGATCAGATTCGTATCGGATTCAGGAAGACATAGCCAAGCGGCCTGGGTCGGATTGGAAAAAAATCAAATCTGTGTCGTTTGGACAGCCATGAAAAGATCAGATCCAGGTCTCATATGGGCCAAAAAAAATCGGATTTGGGTAATTTCAGGCTGCAGCGTGAACGTAGCCTAAGTAGATCTACAAAAGCAGATAATGAACGATCAGTTTAATGCTAACATGCAAGAGATTTCAACCCCACTTTACCATGTTTTTATAATATATGCTAATATCTATTACTGTCCTCTTCCTTATTTGAGCCTCAATGTGACCTGCAGCCATGTTGATATTGTATTCAATACACATAATCACATCCTGCTGAGAGACTCTACATATTACTGTGATGCAAAATGGTAGTTTACAAGTTAAACAGGAACTACATCAAACACGTGCTTTGGATATCAATATCATGATCCTTGATCAGCAAATGTGATGGATTTGAAATATATTGTGATGCAATCATTTATTTTAAGAGGTTACTCAGTATTCTGTGTGTTTCTGCTCTGATAAACTTCAACCTAAGAACCAGAACCTTTCGCCTGGGGATAGAGAAAGGCTAAGTCATCTTACAGATGTGCTCTCTAAATAGATTTAATACTGGCCGTGATTTTTGAATGATGGTAGCCTTTTTTTTTTTTACGATCACGCATTAGCAAACTCATCAGTCCATCCTGCCACATTAGGGTGAATGCCTCGCCCCTCTCTCCAACTGTGAGCCATTATTCAAGTTTTCGTTGGTTTGCTAAGGTTGTTTGATTTAAATAGAGATTTGTGTTACATTTTTTGATCATTGTGTTCATTTTTATCATCTAAAAAGAGGAAGAAAAAGTAACACTGACCCTCGAAGCAATTAGCAGCAAATATCTTGGATCAGTTGAAAGTAGGGCTGAAACAATTAATTGGACTATTTGGGATTAATCAATTATTGAAATAATCGTCAACTAATTTAGTAATAGATTAAGCGTTAACTGGAGTGTAAAAACTCTAAAATTATAAAAAAGTGATAAACTAGCTCTTATGCTACTAGCTGCAGACATTTAATGTTTCATATTTTTATTGTTTGTTGTGAACATGATTTTTTTATAAACATGTTTCATTGCCTGATTTCTGGAGCCTTTAAATTAAGTTTGCCACCAAAAGGGGATGATTGAAATAAAATCCAGTTCATGAAAATAATGCAAGTTATGTTATTTTTTTATTATGAAATTTAAGGAGGAAACAAGTGATCAGATTTGAACGGAAACAAATTGGACATAAGATTTTTAAACTATATCGTCCTACCCTAATTAGCTGTCCATTTTATTTCTTAATGAAAAGATGCAGCTTTCGTTTAAATCTATAAGGAACCTTCTTTTGTGGGATGTTAAAAGAGTAATGGATTTAAGGCGTGTATATTTATCTAAGAAATCTGCTCAATATCAGCCAAAAAATGTGTGTTTGAATATATTGACCCGCTTCTAAAATCTATATCAGAAAGCTGTTCTGATTCAAAGTTTATGTAAATCTTTGTGGTTCAGTATTGTTCTCTGTTTGAGAAACATCACTTGATCAAGCCTTTTACACTATCAAAGAAGTGATATATATATATGAGTAATAGTGATATCATATTGGGTCAATATTCTTATTGGTAAATATTCAAAGCTGCAAAATTAGTTACGTGCAGGAACTTGAAAAAAAGATTTAAAAATGTTTGCAGAGGCATTCTTTTCGGTGGTTTTTGTGGTTTACTCCCTGTTTTCTGACTGTTAACTCTGGTGTCTCTTGTTATGATCCAATATGACATTCTCTATTAAAAATTATTTGCAAAGGGATGCTTTAGAACAGGGGTCACCAACCTTTTTAAGGCTGAGGGCCACTTCAAGGGTACCGAGTCATAGTGAACACTGACCCATGCACAGCAAGGGTTAGGGTTCACCTAAACTTCATTATACATTACAAAAATTTTTATGGTTTCCTTTAAGTTCTAATTGTATTTTAGACATTGTCATTTTGAAAGGATCTATAAATTATTAAAAAAGGAGAAAAACAGAATAGAAGAAAATTTCAAACTTTGCTCTTTTCTTAGAAGTCTGAGGGCACCCCATGTGGTCCAGGAGGGGCCCATGGTGCCCATGGGCACCACGTTGGTGACCCCCGGCACCAACGTGAATCTTCAGTCAAGATTCTAAACTTTAGAATCTTGACTGAAACTCCACGATTATTACCATTATAAAATAAGTACTGCAGGTTTACCACTTTGTTTCCACATGAACTCTTAAGGCAGAACACCAAAGCCGCTGTTATGGAAGACAAGGAGACTGTGTACCAGAGAGACAGAAGGAAAAAGAAGCAGCATCAGGAGAATGACAAAACGACTTCAGCCCTGAGGAGAGGCCCCTCACAGAGAAACCATTGTTCAACACACGCCATCTCAGACTGCAGACACGTGCAAATAGCCTCGGCTTTTTATTTTGTGCTGAATTTTATGGCAATTAAAGAAAAGGGAAAAAAAAGTAGAGCTCCTCTCTGCAGCCAAAAATGATTTTCACACCCAGAAAAGAAGAGAGAAGACCCAAACATACACGCATCGCCCACATGGGCGCGCCCTGGAGTGGTGCGCCTTTAATAAGTGAACCCAGCATCAAACATCCAGTGGGTGACGGAGTATTGCACCCCGGCATTACAGCTTCCCACATCGCAGCCGTCTGACTGCATCATGTAGAGGCTGAGTGACGCTGCGGCGGAGGGTCCACTAAAACAGAACACACATGGAGGCAAACAGAACAAGAACAGATCACAACCTAACAGTGTCCTGTGAACGGGGGGGGGGGGGGTTCTCCATCATTCATAAACCTGTCATATTTCTTCTAATCATGTTATTTTCTGACCTTTAATTAATGATTCTGTCCAACTACAAAACACCAAAGCCCTTTATTCTGGGTAATTTCTAATTTCACACAAACATCAGTATTTAACATCGTTCTACTGGACGCCTCCATCTGATCAGCCTTTCACCTTTAATCCTGTAGCTGATTCTACATACATGAGGATAAGAGTAAAAACTTTCAATCAGGTGAAAAAGGAGAAACAACAAGCTGAAGATCTGCATCATATGAAAAGACAGACTTTAGGATAGAAAAAAACTGATTAAAAAAAAAAGAAATTTGCTCAGAAATTTTTCAAGCGTAAAGCTGCTTGTTGTTAAACGGTTGGAGCTCAGTTGTCCAGTGGGATGGCTGGAAGCTGGGTGTGTCAGGAAGCTGAGGCTGCTCTATCTTTCCTGTAATAAAAGGAAGAAAACGCTACCATTGCATTTAACATATCAAGGTTGGCATTAAACCTGGTTGAAAAAAAAAAAGGGGTGACAACTGGACACTGCCATTAGTTAATTTCTAAAATAAATGCTGCTAACTTTCCAACAATAACCTTTTGTAATTAAAACAAAATTGAACAAGCAGAAAGAAACAACAAATGAATGGCTAATGGCCTCCGGTTAACAACAAAACTCAAAGCAAGCGCTTGCATGCTAGTTCCTGACCTAATATTCAAATGCATTAAATAAAGATGCAAAAAGAACAGCAATCACTTTCAGGCCCCGTCCACACGAAGTCAAAACGAACACGAAACGCTAATATTTTCCAAAACGTTTGCCGTAAAGACGGAGACGTAAAATAAATGTGAGCGTCCACACGAATGCATGAAAACGCTGCAAAATGTATGCCAGGCCTGTAAGTGGCGCTGTGGTGCCAAAGCAAAAATAAGCGACGAAATGTTGGGCATGCAGACTAATATTTATACATGGTTGCCCTGCGGGTCCATTTTCGTGGTTACGTCAAATTGAGGTGCTGAACTATGTCGTCTATATTGCTCTGTTCTTCCTGGAGATATTCCAGAAGAAGAAGATTCTGTTGTAAGCCCGACAGCAGGGTGAGTAGCATGAGCAGCAACGGCGCCATTGTTGTTGTGATACTGTGTCGCGCATGCGTGTTTAGAGGCGACACTATGACGCATGCGTGTAAAAAAAATATGCGGTTAGAGCGTAAAGATGGAAACGCGAAAACGGCGTTTCGAAATCTTCCCACTCTGAAGGCTGAATAAAAAAAAGATCGTTTACAGACCCCTGAAACGCCGGCTTCGTGTGGATGAGAGGCTGGTTTGGTGAAAAATTTGTGCGTTTAGGCCAGGGTTCGTCTTCGTGTGGACGGGGCCTCAGGTTCTCTGAATTGCTTTGCAGGTGG